GGTTAAAGCTATATAGTCAAAGGCCTAGAGGGATAGCGGCCTTATCCCTAAAAGGCCGGCAACACATTCGTAACTCCTTTGGTGTTGCAGGTGTCCATTGGCGATGCTGATTGCTTACCATCAGGTAATCTGCTTGTTTGCCGACCTATAACAAAGAAACAGAAAAATAATAAGTCAGTAAGATACTAAACAATTCTTAAGAATCACATAATTTACTGACTAAGTATAAAAAAATAAATATAAAACTGAAAATCATTTATAGGGTACAAGATTGTGTGTAAGAAAAACAAAAGAAAGAATTAAATGTGATGTGTTTAAGTTATGAAGTAAAAAGTAATACAAAAACAAAAAAAAATGTGTAGTTATATGTATATTATAATATAATATACATATAACTACACATTTTTTTCCATATTATGGACTTATATGTTTTTATGGGATAGGGAGGCAAACAGATATATGGACCCGATGATTGGGAAAATTGGGGATAGGGGAGGCAGACTTGGTACTTTGGTAACTTACACATTCAGATTTCAGTTATGTCACTTTTTAAATAGAATTTTGTTGTTGCTTAGTATGTCAGTAAGATAGGTTGCTATAGTAAACAGACTGACAAAGTATTTGGTAAGATAAAGGCCAATTCTTTTGTACTAAATACCAATGCAGTCACTTCTAGCTGGGTTACAAATGCAAGCCCAATAATGTACTGGGCCCCTGTCTGGAGAAGGATATCTCTTTGCACCACACAGAGCGGAATAACATCATAGAGGACATTTCTCTAAAAATAAATAAAACCCTAGTGTGATACATTTTTGTAATCTACTCTTCAAACTCTAGATACTTGTCATAAACACACACTGTTTTGACAACTTTTTTAAGCTCCATAGCCAAGCCATTGATTTTTTTTTAAGGCACAACGTCGCCTTTTCGCTTTGGATGAGTCAAGGATTATAACAATATGCTGTCTAATTCTGCCCAGGCATTTGAAAGTTACAATGGAACAAAGCAAAATCACAGACATAAAACCTAAAAACTTGAAACTCCTTTTTTGGGCAGTCATTTAAAAAACAAGACACTCTTACTCTTTAGTCCTACAAAAACATAGTGATTTTATTTGATTTAATCTAATAAGATTATAATAAGAACTCACAGTAATATTGAAGCAGTCTCGCAGCATGTCTCCGTACACTTCAGGTATGCCCATCCACACGTACTCGGCCCACAGACTTTTAACACAAACATGCTCATTGCAACAGCAACACATAAGTAATTCATTCCTAGGAGAAGAAGAAGAAGAAATAACTATCACTAACTTATTTTATTTTAGTAATTTGACATGTGCAGGCTTTTTATTTTCGAAAGTAAAGCTTATGTTGCTAATAGTGTTTAAACTTACATTTTTACATGGAATTAAATGACGAAATATCCAAATTGAAGTCACACAATTGACTTATACCTACTTAATTGAAATTGTCCTTTTTAGACCTATTAAGATAGATAAATTTATCAAAGAAATATAGAATTGTAGATAGGTACCAGTGGCGTAGCTAGGGGGGCAAGGGCCCTGGTGCATAGGGAGAGAATCGGGCTCTCCTCCCCTCTTTCCGCGCAGTTTGTACTTATTGATATGAAAATGATTGATAGGGAATAAGAATAGGAAACAGTGGATTGAATCATCCCTAGTAGGCTAAATCCATACGTCGTCTCTATCAAAATCTTCATGTGTTCAATGGAAGAAAAAGGGAGTACCTAAATAAACAACGACGCACATAACAATATAGAATATTTATTAATTAAAAGGAAAAACGATTTTTAAGAGAATTTCCCGCCCGATTTACAATGTCTTGCGCGCTTTAATGTTTGCGAATTCGTCTATAATGTCACTCAATTTCAAGTTCGATGCCGTCTCGTTTTCTATTGCAATCAACGATAAATGTCGGAGGCGATCTTGGCCAATGCTGTTTCTTAAATATTTTTTTATAATCTTCAGTTTATTGAAAGATCTTTCTGCTGCCGCGGAAGTAACAGGAATTGTGTGAAACAGTAGCATCGCTGTATACACTTCCGTAAGGTCACATTTGAGCACGCCGAATTTCGTTATAATTTCTTTGCAAAGCTGGCGAATAGACCACGTCTCCATCAATTGAGGGAGGATCAGATGATATACATTAAGGAATTGGAGCGAAAAAGTGGTGCCAATAATATCACAATATTTCTTCTGAAACTGATCACATTTTTTGAGTAAAATCGTTTCATTCCAGCTGAGCAGATTTTTTGGAATCAGGAAGTCGAACGATTTACAAATTGCATTCATACCAATAAAACGCGCATCTAACTGGTTGATTATTATGTCGAGTACACTGTTGAAAACAGTTACTCTAAAGACTTCTTCCTGGTTTTCGAATCGGTGATCAGAAGCCAATTCATCGAAATGCTTTATAGTTTTTCTTCGTCGCTTTTCTGGGAAGGTAGGATCGATGTCGTATTTTCTCGCGGTTTCGGTGGCCTTGGACTTAAAGGACTCGAAGTCATTTCTATACTTTTTCAATTTATCCGTTGTTTCGTCCAAAGCCTTACTCGCTTCGTCCAAAACGATATCACGATTTTGCAAAACTTTGGAAACATAATTGATATTGTTCAATACGCTGTGCATGAATTCAATAAGAAATACAAACTCAAAATTCAGCGTTTTTGATTTTATAATCTCTGCTTCACTGCGTTCGTGTTTACTGGAACTCTTCAGCGTTATTTCGGACAATGCTTTGTTGATATCGAAAAAACGAAGTTTGACTGCAGTTATTCAATTAACCCTGCTGGACCATCTTGTTGGAATCAATTTTTTCAAAGTAATTTCTGATTCACCTGTGAATTTCGATAAAAGGTCCCAGCGCTTAATGCTGTTTCCAAAGAAGTTAAATAAGTCTTGAATTATTGCAAAAATCTTCTGAATTTCGACGGAACCTCGAACGGCATGATTTACGACCAAATTCAAATTATGACTGGCGCAATGTACGTACTCTGCGTTTGGCTGAATATCTTTAATTTGTTTTTGCACACCACTCATTACACTGGCCCCATCGCGACCTTGCCCACTTTTTAAAATCAAGACCCTTTTCGGAGAACAACGTAGTAACTTGATTTACCAAATCCGCTGCGCTGTGTAAACACAGCGCAGCGGAATCAAGTGACTGCGTGGAAACCTAGAAAGACTTCTCTTATTTCAATGTCGATTGGTTGTCCATTTTCCGATCTTGATATCACTGCATATTTTACGACAATGCTCAATTGATCCACTTTTGATATGTCCTGCGTGGTATCCATGATGATGGCAAAAAACGGTGACGCCCTAATTCGATTGAACAAATGATTCTCGAGTTTGGTGCCCATACACTCGATCATTTCATTTTGAATCGTTGCACTCAGGTCATGGTCAGGATCTTGTTGATCCTAAAAACTTGGGGATAATAGAAAATCAGATAATGATAACATAAATTATAAACACAGTAAACGAGATCATTTCTTACCCTTGGGCATATCTAAAACTTGACGCAAGATGTGGTCGTATCTAGCGACGAGTTGGACAAATTGAGAGAAAATTTCCGTGGTTTCCTCCCTCACTCAGATCCTCTCGATGTCCTCTCAAAGCCAAAGAACTCTTCGCAAGAGTAATTATAATATCAAATAATCTGCTAAGAACTTGTCTCCAAAATGATGCTTCTTTGCGAATTTCATCTTCAAGTTCTCTGTCGATGGTGGAACTTTTTTGCCACGCTTCATATACAGTCACGCTGCCGTGTGTGTGTAAGATTTTTTTTTAATAAGTATTTTTTATTTCTTCAATTTTTCAATTTTTTTAAATTTTTCATTTTTTTCAAAGCTGAGGCTAGAGGGCCCCCTGAGCTCGAGGGCCCTGGTGCACGGCACCACCTGGCCCTATGATAGCTACGCCACTGATAGGTACAAATTGATTTCAAGAAGAAAATAAATAAATACAAGAATCACAAACTGTCACAACACTGAAGATTGTCAATGTCAAAGTATTTTTTTTTTGAAGTTTATGGACTGGATACAAGTCTTTTAAGCAAATGTCAAAGTAAAATGCTGTGCAATTATGGGATAAAAATGATTTCTTTGTATTCTCGTTAATGATGATGATATCCTGACTACCTCTGCCTACCATCCACCACGTAAATAGGCCCATAGTTGTAAAGGCAAAATCTTCCCGTGTAACTCCACGACTGGACTATAGGTCTCCTCCACAGAAGAGGGGTTTGCCATTCTAATTATTAGTTTCTTGCCTTCAAGAAAAGTGCGAACAGACTACTTCTTAAAAGTTCAGCAACGCGACTGTCTTCTCCGGTGTAGCAAGCGCTCCGCCTCCTTTGCGAGCATAACTGTTTCGCAGAAAGAGAAAACAGCGCCCCAGTCCCTCTCGCTCCGTACCATGGCCTCGATTAGGTTCTGGTTTTTAAAAAGACTTGCGTCGTCTATATTGCGTAATAAAATTCCAATTTAATTTTGTTGTCACCTTCGTCACGCCTAGGGGAGAGAAGTCGTAACAATATTTTGTCCATTCTGACGAAAAACAGGTGTAAATAAAAGACATTAAACCTGCATAATATTAAAACATTTTATTAATATAATATCACAATTAAATAATGGCTAGGAGGGTATTTTAAAAAAAAACAATGAGAAAATGCTTGTTACCTACAATCAGTCTTAAAAAGTGCTCTTTAGAACACATGTATTTTATACAAATCAATCCTTTAGATTTGCCTGTCAATAAAGTACATTAAATATTCTTAATATATTAAGCCTTCATTTCAAATCCGTCTCGCTGTCAACAAAATATCAACCTATAAGTGCCCACTGCTGAGCAAAGGCCTCTGAAGACATAATATGTACTTTTTAAGACGATTTAGACGAGAAAGCGTGGTGATTAATGCTCAAACCTTCTCCGTGTGAGAAGAGGCCTTTGCTCAGCAGTGGGCACTTATAGGCTGATGATGATTGCACGGGCCACGCGACCTAGGTCTTGTGATAAGTGTGATCTAGTTTTACTGCCGAATCATATTCTAATTTTATCTCCATTACATCTTCGCTATACTCGTTGGTCCTGGAACAATTAAATTATATTTAGCATACAGTAACAATGATTTTTGCATGATATTAAGTGTGGGAGAGCCATGCTTCGGCACGAATGGGTCGGCTCGACCGGAGTAATACTACGGCCTCACAGAAAACTGGCGTGAAACAACGATAGGGTTGTGTCTCGCCGTGTTAGTGAGATTACCGCAGGCCCAAAACATCCCTCCCCTCATCCTGGATCTTTAAATATTCAAAACCAAACGCACTCGTAACTCCGGTGCGGGTGTCCATGGGCGGCGTTGCTTGCTTACCATCAGGTAATCCGGCCTAAGATATTTAGGATAGGGTAGGGTAGATAGTATAGGGTAGGTAGGGTAAGGTAAGATAAGGTATTTAGGTTAGGGTAGGGTAGGTAGTATAGGTAGGGTAAGGTAAGATAAGGAATTTAAGGTAGGGTAAGGTAGATGGTATAGGGTAGGTAGGGTGTCGGAGCGCCTACTGTTTTTATAAAGCAATTATACTCACTATATACTGGTTAATGATGCGAACGACCGCACGTTAGGCATATGTGCAGTTATTTTATTATATTTGTAACCTCATCAATCTGATTTTTGTCATTGTTCGGATTACACGTTATTAATTCTACTCGACTGCTTTAAATTATTTTACCACCTTGGAGTCTTAAACATAGGGTAAGGTGAGATAAGGTATTCAGGGTAGGGTAGGTAGGGTAAGGTAGATAGTATAGGGTAGGTAGGGTAAGGTGAGAAGGTATTTAGGGTAGGTAAGGGAGAGTAGTGTAGTGTAGAGTAGTGTAGGGTAGGTTAGGTTAGGTAGGGAAGGGTAGGTAAAAGCTAGCATAACTATGAAAAAACAATGATGACTTACTGTAGAGAGGTACTGTTATGCTTATCATCCAATACGGGGGCTGTGTCTACAGCTGCCGAGAGAAACTTTTCGTCGCTATCCAGTGGATCACTGTAAGGAATGTAAGAACAAATAATAATAATTATTATTTTGTATACTCCATTCCATTCACGGGACCACATGCAGGATCTCCGGACTTTTAGAAGGCGCACGAGGTGCGAAAGCCAATTCGCAGAGGCCCTTTGAACAATTTTAATTTAAACTAGCTCGTCTCACGCCGTTTCACTTCGGCTCCATTTGATCCAAGCGTGATGTTTTATAGCCTATAGCGCTCAGGAACATTGTAGCTATCTATCAGTAAAAGAATTTTGGCAATCCGACCAGCGGTTCCAAAGATTACCCCTTACATACAAACTTACAAATTTTACTCCTTTATAATATTAGTATAGATGTGATGGCACATCGACCAGCAATTATCCTTGAATGTGCTATAGAAGTGCACCCAAGGAGAATCACCGGTTGATGCAGGACTATTACGAAATGTGGTAAAAATTGATAAGGCTATGGGTATGGGTTGGCCTTCTATTCCATAAAAAAAAGAAATTTAGTGATGCAAAAATTTTGAAATCGCCAGTCCGCTTGAGTAAGCGTGGTGTATAAACCTTCTCCACGTGGGCACTTATAGGCTTTTTTTTTGAGGGGAATATTATCAAATGACTTATCCCGCCCAGGGTCGTACAGGTGGGAGTGTCAGACTCTTGCTGACTAAAAACCCCCGTTCTTCTCCTGCTCTGGGCCGAGGTCGCGGTCGCGCTTCATTGCGCTTACCCCGCAACCCCGGCTGAACATCAGCCCTATAGGGTCCCGTCCGTTGTGGTCTATTGGCACTTGGGGGCACTTATAAGCTTATGGTATGTATGTATATGTGGGAAAAAGGGATTTAATAACGAGTAAGAAGTTTTATATGTTGTCATAAGATAGTCTATGGTAAGAAAAGGGCAAGAAAAAGAAGAAAATGACAATGAAATTGGCACTTGTTTGTTTGTGAGAAAAATATTTTTATTTGAAGATTTCGCTTCTGTTTTCCAAAGGAATCATCACACATATACATATGTTTGTCCTATTAAATATGAATATTACTCACATATTAGAATCCTCAGTAAGCGGTTCGTCCTTAATTGTTATATGGGGTTCCTCTCTGAAATTAAACAATTTTTTATTAATATTATTAAAATAATATCTCTCACTATGTATAACTATCACTACATAGTATAAAACATAGTCGCTTTCTCTGTCCCTATAACCCTATGTATGCTTAAATCTATAAAACTACGCAACAGATTTTGATGCGGTTTTTTAATAGATAGAGTGATTAAAGAGGAAGGTTTCTAATAAGAGGTTAATAACATCCATTAAATAGTGGATAAATTTAGTATCAGCATTGCTACTGTGCGGTTTATGGAACATAAATAAACTATTAAAAAGTAGTTGTTAGGTGTGGTTCTTTCATCAAAAGACCACTACAGAATGAACTTGCACGGTTCTCTCACATTATGTTATTTTTACATTGTCTGAGAAGTTCTCAGAGTAGTCAGAAAGGAAATGCCGGCTTCATATAGTTTTTCACATATAAATTGACGTGTAAAAGTGCCGTTTTATGGCCTATTTGCAAAAATAAATTCATTGTTTCATTTTTACAGAAGAAGGGCTTTTTTTAATCATCATCATCACTGCTGGTAATGGGGGTCTTCCCAATTCTACGCCACTGAGCTCGATGTTCAGCTCTTCTCATCCAACCACTGCCAGCCTTACGGATATCGTCGGTCCACCTAGCTGGAGGGCGCCCTACACTACGTTTGCCTAGACGTGGTCTCCACAGAACATGTCTACCCCAACGGACATCGATCTTGAGCTGGTTAAATCATTATAATATGACTCCTCTCGCCCAAGGTATGAAGGTAGGAGCGAGTATCAGACTCTTACTGACTAAAAACCCCTCTGTTCTTTCTCCTGTTTTGGGCCGAGGTCGCGGTGCCTCATTGCGCTTAACCCGCAACCCCGGCTGAACATCAGCCCTTTAGGACCCCGTCTGTGGTGGTCTATTGGCTCTTTGAGGCGCGCGCGTGGAATAGATAGATTTCTTGCATTTTGGGGCGGAATTTAAGTAATATTCTATAACTATACTAATTTTATAAATTCGAAAGAAAATTTTATCTGTCAGTCTGTCTTTTCTTCACGGCTAAACTACTGAACGGATTTCTTTGTAATTTGGTACAGACATAGTTTGGAACTCGAGAAAGGACATAGGATAGGTTTTTTAAACCAAAAATCTGTATAAAGTCACTATTCCACGCGAACGAATTCGTGGGCAAAAGCTAGTACTAAAATATAAAGTGACTTACTGTAGCGCATCGTCCGTTGTCTCGCCGCTACTGTCATCTATATCCGCTGTCGGAGACATTATCTTCCAACTGGAAAATAAATAAAACAATACTTTCTTATTCCACATTTCAAAAAAAAAAACTTTGAGCCACAGGGATTTTCTCGTGTGTCATGGGTGCGTTTACAAACGTAAAATGTCACATACACATCACACCCAGACCCGGAACAACAATTTGTAGATCACACAGAGATGTTCCTTGAGGGAACCCGCGACACGTTGCGCGGCAGCCGGCAGCCGCGCCAACCGTGCAATCTTAACCCTAAAGTTTTTGGAACTCACGATCTTTTTTTCATTGATAAAGCGACAAAACGCGCAAAATTTTTGAACCAAATCAAAAAACCAAAATAAATGACTAAGGGCTGATGTTTCAATAGTTAGATAAATGTTATTCGAGGAATAAAATTGTTGCTGTCACTGTCTTATACAAACATTCTGACGCGACAGCGTCATAAATATTCCCCAGGTAACTTTTATATAGTCAAATAATCGAGGAAGGCTATGGTTATGAATATAACCACGACTATATTATACTATACATATATAATACAGTCGTGGTGGCCCGGAGGTTAAGGAACCCGCTTCTCATGCATGAGGTTGTGGGTTCGAAACTTGGCAAGTACCAATGTGACTTTTTCCAAGTTATTTATACTTTCTATGATTATTTAGACACCACTGACATACGGTGAAGGTAAACATCGTGAGGAAACCTGGATTTATAATTTCTAATTATAAGTTTGAAATCGCCAACCCGCATTGAGCAAGCGTGGTGGTTAATGCTCAAACCTTCTCCGTGTGAGAAGAGACCTTTGCTCAGCAGTGGGCACTTATAGGCTGATGATGATGATGATGGTTATGAAACATCACGCTGCGTTCTCTAGGAGTTGAGCAGCGGGAGAAACAGAGAAGAAATGCTAGTTCATAAATATACAAAGAGTATGACTCACTCTGTCGCCTCCTCCATAGAGTTCCCTCTGTCACAGTCCACGTCTATATCCAAATCTCTGCAACAAAATGAATAGATTTAATATAACACACAGTTATTGAAAACTAGATGATGCCCGCGACTCCGTTCGCGTGGAATAGTGACTTCCTGCAGATTCTTGCTATAAAAACTATCCTATGTCCTTTCTACAGTTCCAAACTATGTCTCAGTAGTTTAGGCGGGAAGAAAAGACAGACAGACAGATTCCAATATTAAAAGAGGTAATTAATTTGTTCCTTCTCCTGCTCTGGGCTTCCGATAAGTTTGTATGTAGGGGGCAATCTTTGGCACGGCTGGTCAACAATCCAAAATTCTTTCACTGGTAGATAGCCTAAAAGGTTTCTGAATGCTACATAATCTTTGGAACCGTTGGTCTGATTGCCAAAATTCTTTCACTGATAGATAGCTACAATGTTCCCGAGTGCTATAGGCTGTAAAACACCAGCGGGTGAAACCGCGAGAGTATAGCTAGTTTAACTAAGAGAATTAAAGTAAAACTCACTCTTCTGCCGCCGGTACAGTGACCCGGGCACTGCTACGGTCTGCCTTCGCATTTTGCACATCCGTAGAACTGAAACAACAAATACAAAATTAAATCACTACATAGTATAAAGCAAAGTCTTCAGACTTTCTTTTATATAACTAGATATTAGTAGGATACGGGATACTAACTTTTAAACTTTCGCGTTTCATCTTAACAACATTATATTTACGCGGGTATTAACGCGGAAAACTACCAAGGTATTCAAATCATAATTTTCCGCGTTAATACCCGCGTAAATATAATGTTGTTAGGATACGGGATGTTAGCATACCTGTCACTCCGTTTGCTCTTGCGTTTCCGTTTGTTCGGAGGAGGATGAGATGGCGTCGTGGTGAATTTCTGCACTAGACGGTGCATGAACATGTCTGAGACGCCGGTAGCGCAAGCAGCACGGCTCGTCACATCTGTCAGGGCCGCCGCCATCCTCTTCTGAGACAACATCTTTATCACATCAAACTCTTCGGACAAATACTCGTGGACACGGAACATCATCTTCTCAGTTTCTTCTTTGACCAATTCCTGGAATTTGTTTAAATCCTGATGGTAAGCAGTCGGCACCAATCATGGATACTTACAATACGGGAGTTATTGCATATGGGGAGGGCAGGGGAGCAAGCTAGATGACCCTTTTCTCTCTCACTACATATATATACTAGCTACTTTCGCCCGGTTTCACCCGCTGCTCAGCTCCATTTGATCGTAGCGTGATGTTTTATAGCGTATAGCACTCAGGAACATTGTAGCTATCTAGCAGTGAAAGAACTTTGGCAATCCCACCAGCAGTGGTTCCAAAGATTACCCCCTACATACAAACTTACAAATTTTACCTCTTTATAATATTAGTATAGAAGTATAAATAAAGCTGGATCGTAAAATGTGTTTGTAAGCGCATAACTCAACAACGCCTGGACCAATTTTGCTAATTCTTTTTTTTGTTATGTTTGTTATTATCAGGAGAAGGTTCTTATCAATGAAAATATTATAAAGTAGAGTGGGAAGATTGGGAAATAGTGGTCTTTTGTTAGCGAGATAGTGTCGTGGGTGCGGTTACAAACATACGAATTCACATACACATGACACCCAGACTCGGAACAACAATTTGTGGATCACACAAAGAGTTGTTGCGTGCGGGAATCGAAACCGCGACACGTTACTATTTAAACAGGTACATACCAAGGCTGTCTCGAGCGGGGCGCAAACCTGCACCGCCTTGTTCCGGACCCGCACCGGCCGAGTTTGCACCGTCTTGGTGGTCATCAGGTTCACATCCGGCTTCACCTGAACCCCCTTATCATGAATCCCGTCCAGCACGGCATGAACGATTTCACCTGGAACATTATCGAAAACTCTATAGAAGTGCTTTCGACTTTATGTTAGACTAGATTTCACCAGCGGCTAGGCACGTGTTTAAAAGTACCTAATTTATGCCGGGATTTTAAAAACAAAATTATTTTTTTTTATAAATTTTAATTTTTTATTTTATAACGTTTCCCGTAAGAAACTTATTCTGATAGTTACAAACACACCAAAAAAATTATTAGCAAATTGGTAAAGGCGTTGTTGAGATATGTGCTTCCACCGTAAGCGCGGGACTGTGGACGGGCGGCGAGTAGGTAAGAGTACGGCGCGTAGCGTTCCGCGCGCGCCGCAAAGAGCCAATAGACCATCACAGACGGGGCCCTATAGGGCTGATGTTCAGCCGCGGTTGTGGGGTAAGCGCAAAAAAGTCACCGCGGTCTCAGCCTAAAGCAGGAGTGGGAACGGGGATTTTTAGTCATTAAGAGTCTGGAGAAGTGATTTGATGATTTTCCCCTCACAAAAAAAACCAGCACATTTTGCGTTTATTTTTTTTTATATAGAAAACTACATATACTCTCGCGCGATTTCACTCGCTGTTCGGCTCTATTTAATCGTAGCGTGATGTTTTATAGCCTATAGCACTCAGGAACATTGTAGCTATAATTATATCAGTGAAAGAATTTTGGCAATCCGACCATCGGTTCCAAAGATTACCCCCTACATACAAACTTGCAAATTTTACCTCTTTATAACATTAGTATAAATTAGGTCTTGTATATTTATGGACAGCGAGAAAGAGTTAAATAATACCTACATTTATCTAATTCTTAATATAAAAAGAAAGTCCTTTTATTCACACTATTCATAACTCAAAAACGGCTGAACCGATTTCGTTGAGAATTGGTAGGCATGTACACTCGCGAGCAAAAGTATGGAATCACTTACTTGGAATTGAATCCTCGCGATCTTAAGTACTTAATAACTAGTTAAGAATAATAAAAATGGTACCATTTAAAAGGTTAAACTGTTAACTTTAAATTGATACCAAATTCATTTAAATCACACCAGTATTTAGGAGCTATCCCGGATTGAGTGAAGGAGTTAGGAAAACATAAGGATAATGGAAAAAATAATGAATGAAGAAAACAACAAAAATTAATTAATAAAAATTTTATTTGGTCTTAAAATTAAGATTTAATATTTTGTGTTCCCTCCCCTCGCCCTAATAACTGCTTGAAGGCGGTTCTTCATTGACCTAATCAGCTTCTGTATCGATTCTTGCGGGATACCTTCCCACTCCTCTATCAAAGCCGATTTCAGCTCATTCACACTTGAAGGAGCAGGATTTCTGGAACGAACCCTCCTCTTCAGTTCATCCCATACGTGCTCAATGGGATTTAAGTCCGGGCTGAGTGCTGGCCAGTTCATTGTGGCGATACCGACTTCTTCGAGATATTCAGTTGTGACACGGGAAGTGTGACAACGAGCGTTATCGTGCATAAGGATGAAGTCATCGCCGATATATCCCGCATAAGGACATGTTCCAGCAGAATATCGGAAATATAGCGGTCTGAAGTTAGACCGCCTCCTCGTCCCCCGCCAGGCACGAAAACAAGCTCAGTTTTACCGTCGAAGGAAATGCCGGCCCACATCATACAAGAACCACCCCCATAAGCCACTGTCTCAGCGAAACAGCACTGCGCAAATCGCTCCCCAGGCCGCCTGTAGACCCGACCCCTTCGGTCGCTGCCGTGCAAACACATTCTGCACTCGTCGGAGAACAGAACTCGCCTCCATTGCTCAACCTCCCAATCAAGATGGGAGCGAGCAAATTGAAGGCGTGCTTGTCGGTGACCTGCCGTCAGTTTCGGGCCTGTGGCAGGCCTTTTTGGAGTCAAATTAGCTTGCTTAAGTCTTCGACGAACTGTCCACTCACTGGCAGCTACCCCACGAACATTTCGGAGCTCCTGTTGGACGTCGACACCAGTCAAATGTCGATTCCTGAGAGAGGTTGACACGATGAAACGGTCATCTCTCTCCGATGTGCACCGGCGCCGTCCAGATCTTGGTCTCGGGATAAAGCCACCAGTCTCCCGAAACCGTTTATAAACTTTCGAAACACAGGACTGGCTTATGTGGAGCTGACGTGCGACAGCCCGCTGGCTGAGCCCTTCTTGCAATAGGGCGACGATTTGTGCTGCTTCTGTAGGTGTAGTATCCATTGTCGTCCAAGTTCAAGGGTCTAAAGTAGCGGAGATGTGTACTGGTCAACGTGTGAAAGCCGACTGATAAAGAAAATCCGATAACACGTGCTTTTATAGGGGGTCAATAGGGCGCAACTCGTGACGTATCAAACAATTGAAACATATCTTTTTCCTTACTTCTTCACGTAATCCCGTATAACTTCTGAAATTATGGCGTGATTTAAATGAATTTGGTATCAATTTAAAGTTAACAGTTTAACCTTTTAAATGGTACCATTTTTATTATTCTTAACTAGTTATTAAGTACTTAAGATCGCGAGGATTCAATTCCAAGTAAGTGATTCCATACTTTTGCTCGCGAGTGTAGTTTAAAACCAGAAGAACATAGAAATGTGTAGGTAGGATAGGGAAGTGTAAGTAGGTAACTAATTAGGATAGTGTTGGTAATTAAACGACGGGTTACAAGCTAAAAAAAACAAGTTTTTAATAAATGTCTGTGCACTTTTCGACCGGTTTGGACATTAAGGAGTGTGGACCAGAAGCCTCTTTTCGCACAGAGATATTCGCCCTGCATCTCCTCCTCCTCGCGTCGGTTTCCTCAGTGCTGAGGGTCGTGACCACCTCGTGGAAGCAGTGTACTGCGTATTACTCTCCGCCATCTATTTCTATCTGCCGCCGAGTGGAGAGCATCGTGGACTGTAGTGGTGAGAGTGGTGCGAATCTGATCCGTCCAGCGTATCGGACTTCTGCCTCTAGGTCTCTTTCCTTCCACCTTACCAGTGATTAGTAACTTTTCCAAGTTATCATTACCCCTTCTGGCAGTGTGTCCAAAAAACTCCAGAATCCTGCGGAGGCATATGGAAGAGAGCCTTGTCTGGATCTTAAGCTCCTGGAGGATCGATACATTGGTGCGGTGTGCCGTCCAAGGAATCCCTAGCATTTTTCGCCAACACCACATCTCGAAGGCATCAATGCGGTCACGATCGGCTTTCTTCAGGGTCCACGTCTCTGCGCCATACAAAAATATGGAGAACACCACTGTGCGCACAAGATTGCTCTTTGTTTTTAACGAGATGTTCTTGTCCTTCCATACTTTTTGAAGCTGTGCCATGGCTCCTTTTGCCATCCCAATTCTTCTTCGTATCTCTGATTCGCAAGAGCCATTGTTGCTAATGCCTGAGCCCAGGTATATAAAGCTGTCAACTACTTCCAGATCAAGTGTCCCAGTGAGCTCAAGCTTGCCTGAGCGATCTACAACCATGATCTTCGTTTTGGATCTGTTTATCGAGAGTCCCAGTTCTCCGCTGATGCGCTCCATTCTATTCAATAAGGCGAACATTTCTGCTTCATCTGACGCTAGTAGAGTGGTATCATCTGCGTAACGCAGATTACAAATTTTTTGTCCGCCGACGGCGATGCCACCATCCCAGTCATCACAGGTGTGCCTCATTATGTATTCGCCGTATATATTAAACAGAATGGGCGAGAGAATACAGCCTTGCCGAACTCCTTTTTCAAAACTGAATGTTTTGGATGTTGTCCCATCAATCCTCACCATTCTTTGACTGCTACTATATAATGACTGCAGAAGTGCAGTTAAATGGCGAGGTACACCCAGTTCCGATAACACTCTCCAGAGACAGCTCCAGCTGACACAATCAAATGCCTTGCTATAGTCGACGAAGCACATCACGACTGGTGTGTCGAATTCATAACACTTCTCCACAATCTGCCTGATGTTGAGTATCTGTTCACGGGTGCCTTTTCCCTTCACAAAACCGGCCTGTTCTTGTGGGATCTGCCAGTCTAGGTAATAACGAACCCGTTTGTTTAAAATGTCCCTGCCCTGCATCTAATTAAGTTCAAATAAAGTAGGTATAATTAATAGATTTTTCAATGTTAAAATTGAAAAACCTATAAATAAAAAATCTATCAATCAATGATAAAAGTTACCTGGGTAATAATTATGATACTGTCATTTTTATTTAAAAAAAACAAACAAACTTTATAACTCACATAATAAATATTTATGGCATTATAGGATAAACAGCCGCATCACTATCTAATTTCAATGAAGAAACAATTAAGACCACACTTAAGGCTGATTTGTTCTGTACTAGCCTAGTACCAATAATACTCAATAAACACTTTAATAAGTGACTAACACCCAGTTTCTGAAAGGCTTGTCAACGCTAAAATTAACTAATCTCCTGTTAAATCTCTTGTCAGGTCATTTGATTGGTTGTTGATAATTCAGTCAACCAATCTGATGACTTTACAAGAGATTAAATTGATTTTAACTTTGATTGGCCTTTCGGAAACTGGGGGTTAGTGAACTATACCTGAACTACAAGATGCAATTTCTTTAAAACTTGATGGCTCTAAAACTATACTCTTTTCTTCAAATTGCTTTTCAGTTTCACACTCTTCAAGAACAGAACTCTACATAGCGTCGCTCTGTTGTCTTAGATGTTAGTGTTTTCCTGTCTGGTTGGCAAGTAAATTTTTTGGGCATACATCCCGGTTTCATACGTACTTGGGATACCGACCCCATGACGTGGTATTCCATATAATTTTCCATATCATTTGGCAACTGAAAAATGCAACGTTAACGATTAGAACTGATAATATGAATGATTACTAAGGCCAAAACAAACATAACTTCAATAAATGATTAATTAGTCCGTAGTTCCGACATAGGTATAGGCAAAACTGAGAAGTTTGACTTGTATGGTTTGTAGGTATGTATGTTTGTGCGCGATAATCTCGCGTTTGGCGAAACCGATATCGATGCGGTTTCAGAAAAGGATTTGTTACATTTAGGA